ACACATTTTGACATGCACCCAAGAACAAAAATGTTCAACACACTTAGTTACTACGCACTGCCAGATTCTAGCTGCATAGTTGCGAAAGTAATGATGCTGCGATTTTTGAAAATACATTTTAGTACAAAATAAACAACAGAAGCAAACATCTAGATATCCGTAGCTAATCAAGATATCGCAACATAGCTTATGGGCATTAATATTTGAGGTATATGTTGTACATCTGCACATTTACAGCGTTCTGCAGTTCATACATTCAGAGTTATGGCTTGCGAAAAATGCCTACCCTACAAAATCTGCACATTTCCGATAAACATCTTCAATCCAATATGGCCGCCGCATCACGTGACTTTTGACATAGGACCAAGAACAGAAAATGTTCAACAACCAAAGGCCACTTCAGAACAAGCGTTTAAAGTGTTGTATGTGCTAAGTTTGGTTTGGCACAAAATGGCAAAGAAGCCCGTGAAAGTTTTTGAAGACAACTTTTTGCCGAAAAGTAGCGTCCAATATGGCGGCCATCATATAAACATAGGCACATTTGACGATGCTACTGTGTAGAAACATGCATAGACACAAAGTATGCAACGTTTGAAAGCCGTAGCCCTTGTAGTTTTAGTGCAGCACATTTTGGGAGGTATGCAGTCAGGATTTTGCTGAAAAACATCACCAAAAACTTCAATCCCAAATAGCGTCCAAACGGTGCATTTTAGCGACTTGAGCCGTCCAGGCGAAATTGTAGGCATTTTGATTGCGCATCTGCTCCAGAACTTTGGCAAACATTGGAGCATTAGTTTTGGAGATATTTGCATTTGCGTTTGAAATTTTTGAATTAATTTTGAATTATCTGCCCTTTGCTATTGGGCCTACAGCCTACAGATTTTAAAGCGCGATATGTACACCTCGGTGGGCATCTGGGTGATTTTTTTCAAGGCATTCTGTCCAGCGGTGCTCTCTGTAGCTCTGGTACAAAATACGGCGGAAGAATAAATAATAATAATAATAAAAACATTAACGATTACAATAGGTCTCCTGCCTAAAGGCAAAGGAGCCCTAATAATGAAGGGTCATTTGCTCTATCCCGATGTGTTGCTGTCACCCAGATGAGTGTATTACACTTTTTTTGTGATGGAAATCACGAAGTCTGTACTCGTGTGTAGCCATGGCTACAAACCTGATGTCGGATGACTGGCTATTTTACGATGGCTTCACTTGCTATACGTTACATGCACACGGGAATAATCGAGAGTAGTCTCCCATTGCTCAGTGTAGCTGTTTAACCGCCCCCTTGTTCTGTGGATGTTTATACACGTTCTGAGACTGGCAGAGGGGATTTCCTCCTCGCCTAATGCTCATTTTCAATCCAGGTAATAGACATTATAATAAGTGCCTTGTATGATACTTGGACAGGATTGGTGCCCTTTACTTCGAGGTTAGGTATGGGCTACAATATCTGATCAAGAAAACCAAATGGCGTTTAGATAAGAACATAGATCAGACCTACAAGTACTGCCAGTTTGACCTGGTCTGGTCTACGCTTTAAATTTAGACAGGGAAATCGCAATGCTCTATGCACATACGTGCGTAAATGTCCAAAATCAGTGAGTGAGTGAGTGAATGAGTATAGTAAACCCTTAGCGATAAGTTCACCATGTCACCTCGTTGAACAGAAAGAAGTCCCATAGACTTCTATAGTAGCGTTATAATTTATTATTTTTAAATCCTCCAGGCTGTCAACAACCATTCCACGTAGTAGGCATGTACACATGGGTACAGTCTCGCCTTTAAACTACAATAAAAACACAAATTCCCGCTAACTTAGCCTGCCATTTTTCCGAGCACAGTATGCTGAAAGCATTAGGCATAAGCATCTTACACTATTTCATCCAGTCACACTGGTCACGTGACTCTATCTCTTCAGATGATTACATACGCAACTCGCTCATGGAGCACGTGATGCTGATTTAGCGTAGTGGAAACCCGAGGCGAAGTGCGCAGCTTGTTTTTCCGCAGCAATTAAACGTACACCACGACCTACACACCACCAGACGGTCCCCACGTCAGATGAATGGACATTGCCAGCAACTACCTACATTCACCAGTTTTCCAGTTAATACTCGGGGTCCAAACAAACACAACATAATAATAGTAATAATAATAGTCCACTTGTAAGGCGCTAAATCCATGCACAATACATACTGACGGCGCACATGTTTGTGAGGAGGTGACAGTAGTTACACAGAGAAGGCAAGTATGTACAGGAAGGTTTTGAGTTTTGTCTTCAACGATGACAATGATTCACAGTCTTTCAGGTACTTGGGCAGAGAGTTCCAAGCTTTTGTGGCTGAATATGCAAATGTTTTCTCCCCATAGCGGGATGTTTTTACCATGGGAACTTGGAGCAGGGCTTTTGTTCGGGAACGTCGAGTTCTTGCCAGTGTGTAGGCTTTAATCAGATCAGATATCGAGGGAGGAGCCTGACCGGACAGAGACTGGAAGACAACACAAAGAAGTTTGTAGGTAATACGCTGTTCCACGAGGAGCCAGTAAACATGCACTTCTTTTTATCACCGACGGGAACCATGACAACGGCCTTCAAAGCAGGATCTGCTTCCGTTTGTTTTGTCGTTTGTTTTTAGCCGCCAGTAAGTCCAGTGTCCATGACAAGAAATGGTCCCCGTCAAGAAATTATGTCCTCTGTATTTCAGCTTCACGCAGATGTCTTTAATCCCGAAGTACATCTCTCCATTATTGCTGGCACAACAAGCATATAGACTACAACTTCTCTGTCGGAGATAAACATATGTGAATTAGCGAAAAGGGAATCGGAAGACTTGCATTTTCTGACGAACCCTTAACCTTCCTTATTGGTACTAATCTTTACACGGTTTCAATATCTTGGCGGGCCCCGCCTAGAACCGCCACGCTCATGACAATTTGTATTTCTGTTGTACATTGCGCGACCAACCACCCGACCAACGGAGTATATGTTTTGATAATACGTAATGAATACAAAAGGAATATAAAATATGTACAGAGTGAAAAATTCACGTCGTTTCATTTACAAATATAGATGTTGACTTTGTCATTGAAGTTTAAACACAATTAATATAATTACTGTTTTTGTAACAGTGCTCACAACATTTCAATAATATAATCAAGTTTGTTAATACGAAAATAATTATTGTATGTAGTTAATTATGGTAAAACGGATCACTGAGTCAAAATTCACTTTGACAAAATATATTTAGATGCAATTTTGCGAAAAATACGATTTTATTAGCCCTTCATTCAATTTCTCTGAGATTTCTAGAATCAGGGGAGGTTACTCTAAGTTCTTTTCAGTTTGCCGTGTTTCATCATTGAAGACATGTTTGTTTTGGTGAGATTTGAAAGTTGGGAATATGGGCCTAACAAAATGGTATGTGTATATTTCCATTGTTAATATATAAGTGACCTCTGTGTTTGAGTAATGTTAAAGGTTAAAATATTTCTATTATGTAAATTATTTAAGTTTTATTGTAATGTTTTGGTTAAATGTATTCAGTTTTCGCGCACTTCGTGCATTTTCATCGAGTAAATTTGTGTATATTTTTATGAGGCTACGTGTAGATTAATGTAAAGTTTCTTTCTAAGATTTGAGGTAAATTTCTGATAGTATTTTAGCTGTTAAAGTAAAAATATTTTATTTATTTTCCTTTGTTTAATATTTTATTGGCTGTAATTCTCAGATTCTGAGATATGTAAAAAGTACCTATTATTGTTTTTTTAAATGTTTTTACAGTCAATCGTTTCATTCGTCGGTCAAGAATATTTTGAGAAGTGTATCCATGAATATGAACTATGACAAATGAGAACATGAACATGAGAACAGGAATAAAAGACACTGACGATGAGATTAATTTTCATTTTGTTTATTACAGAAATTAATAAATTAATGACTTTAAAATCACAATCATCAATTCATTTAATACTTTAAGATAAATACAATCACTGTTTTATGAAACTACCAACCTGTGTGGTATAAATAAACATTTCAATCTGATCAAACAATGAAAACTGTTTTACCTGTACACCGTGACCATATGCGCCCGACTCTAATATATTAATAAGCATAACCTATATATATATAAGATATGAGAAAGGTGTGTCAGTAAATCGAAACAAAATGGCGGTTCGGCTCGGCTCGGTTTTGTTCTGACAAACGCTTCCATCGCTTTGACCGTTTAATAAACTGCACAATTTATACTCAGTTGACCTCTGTAAAGCGGTGATTTTGAAACCTATAAAAATCAGTAGGACAAATGTCCTGAGTGGGTGTCTGGCTATAGGCCATTGACCTAAAGCTCTTTTGACATTTTTTTAACCCCAATGCCATCATATGACTAAATTGTTAATGACATTTAATGTTGCAACTTGGATTCTAGATATACAGCAAACTTTAAGCTTTTTTCAAAGATTTATGACTTATAAACAGATAAATGAACATCAATCACTCCTCTGTGAATAAACACTGAACAAAACAGAAGTGTTGTTATTTTTTAATATTCAGTTGTTTCAAACAGACCCTTAAAAGTGAACATGTCATAGCTTGCTTCTTTTCATCCAACTATGAAAGTACAATAATTAACACTCAATCAAACTCAGACTTGCAAACTTTAAACTTTAAACAGTCAAAACTTCCTGGTTTCAGAAGAAAAATTGGTATGGAGTCATTTCTGCATAGTGAAGAGCAGTCTGCTCCTTTTCCTCCAACACGTCAGTGCACCTGAAAAGTCAAATTTGCACAAATCAGCCCCTTCAATCTTTACTCGCAAGAGCTTGTCCTGTGTCTCACAGGTTAGACGATTTTGAGTGGTGTCGGGGCGGTGGGGTAGCCTAGTGGTTAAAGCGGTGGCTCGTCACGCCGAAAATCCGGGTTCGAATCCCCACATGGGTACAATGTGTGAAGCCCATTTCTGGTGTCCCCCGCCGTGATGTTGCTGGAATATTGCTAAAAGCGACGTAAATCCAAACTCAGTCAGTCAGTCTGAGTGGTGTCAGCACACTGTTCTGTGCGCTGAAACCCTGCTCACATCCAGCAGTGTGTACTGGGCACACTAGGGACAGCTGGGCCAACTTGAGGATGTTGGGGAACTCCTCCTTGTTGAACTCATTCACAAGTGACAACAGATTAACTGTGTTATCCCATGGATACATCTGAGCTAGGACCCTAGGTTTCAGCTGCTTCCACTCAATCCTGGTGGCTTCTGGCTCTATCACAGGCTGGCTTGTGGTCTCTTCCTCATTGCCTTGGTCAGTCCACTTGTGAGTCTGAGGATATCCAAAGTGACCAATGAGACACTCCAGTTGCTCACACCCCCATTTCTCCAGCTCAGTCTCAGACAGGAAACTGATTGGTCTCATACCCAATATTCCAAATGCTGTCAAGATGTCAGTATCTGGAAACCTAGAAATCAGAGTATGAAATTCAAACTACAGGTAATACTATATGAAGGAATGATCAACATATTCAAATGGTATAAATAATTATATCACACTCAGTTAATAAATTTCATGTTTAAGTTTCATCAAAAATCTAAACTTATCCAATTTCAAGGCCTTGAGTAACATACAAACCTTTGAGAAATGTTGGCAATCAAGTTGTCCAGGAACTTTTCCTTTGCTGACTGAACATCTCTCTTTGGACAACAAGCAACAGTGTTCTCCTTGTACTTCTTCTGGTCCATGTCCAGATGGTCATCCAGCAGGAGCTCGTGCACGCCTGGTTCCGTCTTCAGGGACTCCAGGGTCCTCAGACACTCATCAAGGTTCACCTTAAACAGTTTGGTGATCATTATCATTGATTACAATGTTCAAATCATCTTTAAAAGTTCAAAAAGTTAACGAAATGATGTTACAATGTCAATTTCCATGAAAACAAGAATTGCATTAGAATGAGCTTTAATCTAAAATTCATTCACTCTTAAATTGTGTATGATGCCATGGTAATTTCAGGTGATATTGATAGCTTTACGAGCTCAGGATAGTATAGCTTTTGAAGTTGGTGTAAAGTATAAGATTATCTATAATATTTATTTACCTTTACAAGAGCCACATCAACATTTTCTTTTTGGAAGAACAGGTTCAGTTTTCCAACAACTGGAATAATGTCCATGAGGCAGTAAGTCAAACTGATGAACTTTGCAGATGCAATCTGAAACAAAAATAAAACATTTAAATAAAAAATTACTAAAAACATTTTTGGTCAAAATTTAACTTAAATGAAACATAATACATAATTACGTACCTGAAAATGATTCCAATGCAAAGTGCACTGTATGTTTAACCACTTGTAGAGAATCTTTGAATATTTTAAGAAAATAAGCTTGATTTAATTTGTCACTTACTTAGTGTTATTGAGAACTCAATTGAATATTCAATACAAGTCCTTTGTCTCTCGAATGGTTTATGGGGCGGTGGGGTAGCCTAATGGTTAAAGCGTTGGCTCGTCACGCCGAAGACCCGGGTTCGAATCCCCACATGGGCACAATGTGTGAAGCCCATTTCTGGTGTCCCCCGCCGTGATCTTGCTGGAATATTGCTAAAAGCGGCGTAAAACCAAATTCAGTCAGTCAGTCGAATGGTTTATCCATCAAATGCAAACAGAATCAAACTGCAGCTGTAAAAGTAAAGAAATCAAATCAAGTGAAATTGAATTTAATCAAATCCAAATAATCAAATCAAATCAAAATAATCAAATCAAATCAAATCACAATAATCAAATCAAATCAAATCAAATCAAATCAAATCAAATCAAATCAAATTAAATCAAATCAAAAGAAACAGACACGAAAAGGATAATAAAATACAATGCTACTTATCATTTTCAGACAAAAGTAAACTGACATGAATTATCTTCGATAAGTTTAAAAAATGGAGAATAAATTATAATTACCTTCTTTTTCAAACCAATGGCTTTGGCATCACTAAGACTGACATTAGTGAGATAAGCCAATAATGTTTCTAGCGTTCTATACACTGTTTCAAGCGCATTATAAAAGCTGAGCCATCTAATGCTGTGAACCTCCTTGTACCGGAGCTGAGGGGAATCAAGAATTTTCTGAACTTCTGATATCCGCGAGATCTTGTTTGGGGAGTATTTGAAGTAGTAATAAATGGAGGTGACCACTTCTTGATAATCCTTCAGGGCTGGAAGCTTCTCAGCTGCTTGGCTGGTACAGAGAGCAAGTCGGTGTGCTACACAGTGGATGTTGATCATATGTAGGTTGATCCTTTTCATCATGCCGTTGGAGGCGGTGGGGTAGTCTAGTGGTTAAAGCGTTGGCTCGTCGCGCCGAAGATCCAGGTTCGAATCCCCACATGGGTACAATGTGTGAAGCCCATTTCTGGTGTCCCCCGCCATGATGTTGCTAGAATATTGCTAAAAGCGGCGTAAAACCAAACTCAGTCAGTCAGTCATCATGCCGTTGACCCCTCTACCACAACCGGTCATGACCGCGGCACCCTCTGGGGCTAGCCCCATCACTTTTCCACTGTCTATTCCCCTCTTTTCCAATTCGAGCCAAATGGTGTAAGCAATAGCCCTGCCTGTTCCCTCTTGTAAGTGAATATTTGTCAAAAATCTTGTCGACGGCATCATTGTGATTGGATCCAATAATTGCATGTAAATGCAGAGGCGTTTTTCGACACAGATATCTGTACTTTCATCTGCTAAAACAGATACAGCTGGGGACTTCTGAAGAGAGGTAGTTACTTGTTGGTCAATGGTGTCAGATATGGCTTCAAGAAACTCAGTTGCTACATATGATGATGTGTAATTAATTCCATCAGAAGCCATCAAATAGCCAATGTCTGGAACCTTTAATTCCTGCAAAAATTCAATGAGAGACTTGAATTTTAACAGAGGTATGCCTTCTTTAGTGAGCCAGTAAGCTGCTTTCAATCCAATGACAGCCCCTTTTTCCTGGTCACTGTGACATTTTTTCTTAGCTTCCTGGAACTGTGTTTGGAGTTGTGGGGCAATTAGAGACGCCTGGTGATCACTGGTTTTCATATGGTCATTCAGAGAACTGGTCCTGTAATTTGTACATCCATCAGTGAATGTGTTTCGTCTCCCGGCACTCATACACGATGTGCATGACATGCCCCGCCCATCTTCGTATGCAAGCCAAGGGTACAACTTTAACCATCGGTCTTGGAAGGCTCGTTTCTGGGGTTTTTCTACTTCCTCTCCGTTAATAGGCTCTGGTATGTCTGTTTCATCAGGCTGATCAGATACAGATCTTGCGCCAAACGATAGAGTGGTTTGCCCTTTCAATTTCATTCGTTTTTTAGGTGGCATCGTTCTGCAATCAACGATCAGCAATGGAATGTTGGGGATTCCGCGAAGCTACGAAGCATTAATCTGATTGGCCAAGAAGAGCCAATCATGCCAGCAGTTACATACAATTGCGGGTGGGTCGGGAAACCCCATCTCTGATTGGCCAATGCTTAAAATAGCCAATCGCGCAATCCAATACATGTACATTTGGCAGCTTATTGTGATAAAAATGGATGCGTAAACACGTACACGCTGCGGAAACATGATCAAGATTTCGTGGTTAGTTTTTGATGAATTTGTAAATGACAATGTTCGTAATTTATTAGGTCCATATGTGAAAATAACATCGAAATTATCGATCGGCCCGAGTGTCCTAATTAATAAGAAAGTAGTCGGTCATTTGAAAATGTTATCGGACTATGACCGAAGGCCGATGACAATCTGAAACCCTGTAAAGTACCTTGCGTATCACAAACCTGATGATTTTATTCCCATTTAAAGCTTTCAATAATTTTGCCGTCCATTCTCGGATGAAGTCAGGACATATGCCCGGAAGTAAACAAATCTCAGGCTACAGACCCGCACCGAATAGTAGAGCGAGTCTCTGATTGGATAGCGTCTTCTATTATTCCCACCTCTTTTAACGTGCAACTATATTATCCAATCAGAGACTCGCTCTACTATTCGATTCGGGTCTGTAGCCTGAGATTTGTTTACTTCCGGGCATTTGTCCTGACTTCGTCCAAGAATGGACGGCAAAATTATTGAAAGCTTTAAATGGGAATAAAATCATCAGGTTTGTGATACTTTATCGGGTGCCAACTGAGTATAAATTGTGCAGTTTATTCAACGGTCAAAGCAATGGAAGCGTTTGTCAGAACGAAACCGAGCCGGGCCGCCATTTTGTTTCGATTTACTGACACACCTTTCTTATATCTTATATATATAGGTCATGCTTATAAATATATCGGGCGCCTATTCTGTACACAAAGTAATACATATGGCCAAATTTAAAGAAATGTAAAGAAAAACATCAACACAGGGAAATATTCATGAAATTGTCGTCTGTATTGTCATATCGTTATCGATTTACATTTGTAGATTTTATCCATCAGAAATGTAGAGGATATCGCAATGCATCAATGCCACTATTTTTAGCCTGGTGTTTTTCAAAACTGCTATATTTTATTTAACAATACTTCGATGTCATTGTGGAAAGGTAACCTTTTTCAAGGAGAAATAGAATTGACAGAGGTAATTTGAGAATTGACTTTAAAATATTCCAGACACAGTGACTGACAGCCTTTGAAATTACTGGATATTTTAACTTTTTACTTGTCAAAGTCTGGTATATACCGGTAAACGGAAACACTGCAAACCGCTTTTGACCAAACCGTATACAGTTCTGACATAAACGGCAACAGTTTCACTTTTATACAACTCACTTGCTGTATTAAATAATTAATAATAATACAGAGAAACATACATAGGTAGTGTAACTAGTAAGAAAATAAATAAAGTAAATTAATTAATAATGATATAATGTTAATTAATATCTTTTAATTATATTTTCTTCTTTTAGAGAACGAAAAGCCATTGAAGAAGAAATTCGTACTTCACCAGTGTCCTCCATTTATCAAGTCTTTGGAGGACTTTGCTGAGCATGCACCTGTGGAAAGAGTGTATAGGATTCGTTTTGGTGATCAATGGAGAGGTCAAAATTTAAGAGATTTACATGACGACTACATGGCATGGGGCACAATATCCGGCAAAGAGACATGTAAACTGAGAGGATTCACACTGAATTATACCAACTCGCAATTGATCAAAGATATGGTGCTTTATCGCAATAGAAATCAATCTATGGACATTACCAACCTTTCCAAAATTACCAGAGATAAATATTCAGCCAAAATACATAACAAAAGAACCCAAAACTTATAGAATGGTATTCACAAAACATGTCATTCAGCATAACTTGGATACATTACTATATGGTTTTTGAGATGAGAGTCATCTGTGAACTTGTTGGGGCCATATTATTTAGTCAGGGCCTGAACATCGTGTTCCAACAGGGATCACCAACAGAAGCAGAAATTGAACAGTTTTCCTCTGATGGACAACATGGACTCATCATACTGGATGATCTCTTGCATCAAGTGTTAAGCTCTAAAGACATGGAACTGTTGTTTACACATCGATGCCTTAGTGTTATATTTATGAGTCAGAATTTGTATGGTTAAGGCAAATCTGCCAGAACCATTGCATTGAACACTTGGTACCTGGTCTGATTCAAGAATGTGCACAATACCTCACAGATGATGACACTTGGAAGACCGTTATTTCCTGGAGGTGCAGAAGTTCTCGTGGATATACACAGATGTTATGAGACGGCCATATGGATATCTGGTGTTGGACATGTCTCCACGTGCAGAAAATAAGCTGAGGCTCAGAACCAGAATTTTTTCCTGGAGAAGATCCCCTTGTGTATGTACCCAAAGTATAAACAACACTGACTGTTTGCTATGTTCATTCAGTGGGTAGGTATCCTGTGAGCAAGACTGTTGTGTATAAATAGTGGTGAACATTGAATGAAACGCCATTATGTCTAGACACTCGGAACGAATATTTATTACGCTTTTTTGCAGAGTACATCTGCTGTTCAAGAGTTGTTGCTGTTGCAAATTTTCTTTGGTAATAAAACAATATCTTATGCACAGAAAAAAGCAATTGCTGTCAAAGAGTGTGGCTGTCATTAGTTAAGTGTTGAAGGTTGCTGGACCTCTATTGAAGTCTTTGTAATGGAGCATATCCAAAAACATTCCTATGGATAATAACATGTGAAGGTCCGGGTTAGAATGAACCTTCAGTAACCCATGCTTGTATATACGAGGCGACTAACGGGATCGGGTGGTCAGGCTCGCAGGCTTGGTTGACACCTGTCATCGGTTCCCAGTTGCGCAGGTCGATGCTCATGCTGTTGATCACTGGATTGTCTGGTCCAGACTCGATTATTTACAGACCGCAGCCATATAGCTGGAATATTGCTGAGTGCGGCATAAACCTAAACTCACTCTCACTTCTAGCGACGACTGGGATCCACGACCCTGTCGGTTTCAAGACAGGCTGTATCCACTACACCATGGGTGGATCCAGGTTATGAAACTACAGTTCAACAGAAACAGAAGGAAATAAACCTTTTGAATATTGTGGAATAATGTATGTATTTATCTTATGAGTGAGTCATTTAGGAAAAGCACGCTCATGTCACTGAGCGGCTCATGTCATTCAAAAGACCCTGTGAACACATCGAAGTGTTATTGTTTATATATTATATCTCCCTTCAGTGCCACTGGGAGACTGCCCTTTATCTGATAGAACCTGGGGTCCAGAGACCTACACTTACACAGGCTCTTCCCAAATTATAGAACTTGATTGTTAATCTTATTATATGCGTATTCAGTATTCATATATGGGTCATTTAAAAATTGGTAGGATTTTCTGTCCGTTCCGAATAAAAAAAAAATCTGTGAGTTTAAAAGGATTTTTTGGTTCAATAAAACATATTTAGATGTTTACTAGTCAGTAAATGTGGTATATCATTAGTCTTGTCATTTTAAAATTTATACTTAACCACATTTTGGGGTCAAAATTGACAGATTTGCTCCGTCCGGAGGTGACGGTCCTAATATCAATGTTCACAAATAATGTAAATATAAATGCAAATAGACAAATTAATTCATATTATGCCAATTAGGATTGATCAAGCATACTCAGACTGCATTTAATTTTTTTTTAACTTAAAAAAGTTTTTTTCTACAAATTGTCACATGCTTGTCCTGTGATTCTGTGTCCTGACCATTACCAGTGTATGAAATTCCTGCAATAATATCTCCCTGGAGCTGGATTGTAATACTACTTCCTGTGTCTGTTTGAGCTAGCCCCCTGTGGATGTGACAGCAGATGAAATAAAGAGATTCAATACATTTTGAAGAAAACTGACACCGTCAAATAAGTATAAATGTTATGTGTCAACCTTAATTGTCCAGACCGTTACCAGTGTATTTTGTGTCAAATATGTATCTCTTTTTTT